GACGCTGCTGCTGCTGCAGACGCTGCTGCTGCTGCTGCAGACGCTGCTGCTGCTGCGGCTCCCTCCACTGTTGCTATGGGTATCTCAGCTGCACCAGATGCAGCAGCAGCAGCAACTGCAGCGGTAGACTACTCAACAGCAGCAGCAGCAGCAGCAGAAGCTGCGACATCGGCAGCAGCAGCAGGCAGTCCAGTGCCAGCAGCAGCAGCAGTAGCAGAGCCATCAGAAGCCGCAGCTACCGGAGAAGCGCTAGCAGCAGCAGCAGCAGCAGCAGCAGAAGCACAAGACACTCCTTCAGCGCCTCCGCCAGCAGCACCACCACCTGCAGCAGCAACAGCAGCAGCACAGCCAGCAGATCCACCTGGAGCAGCAGAAGCAGTAGGTGACAGAGGAACTGCAGCAGCAACAACAGCTGCAGCAGCAGCAGGTGCAGCAGCAGGTGCTGTAACAGGTAGAGCAGCAGCAGCAGCAGCAGCAGCAGCGGAGGGAGCGCCGCCTTTTCTGTTCTTCTCTCAAGGCCTTGACCTAACTCACCTGTTTTCTGCTAGCAGACAGCAGCAGCAGCAGCAGCAGCAACAGGACGGCGGCCGCGTTGTTGCTGCTGCGGCTGGTGGTGCTGCTGATGCAGCAACAGCCCCTGTCTCTCCTGCTGCAGCTGGAGACACTTCGAGCGTATTGCTGCAGCAAGGAGGCCAGCAGCAACCAGCAGAGCACCAGCAGCACGAGGAGCAGGAGCAGCAGGCTGGCGCATGCAGATTGGCTGCTGCTGCACAGCGAGTGCAGCAGGAGGAGTGCCCTCCAGCAGCAGCAGCAGCAGCAGCAGCAGCAGCGGGATCTGCTCCAGAATTACCAGGAGAAGCCGCTACTGCTGCTGCTGCTGATCCTGCAGAAGCTGGTCCTCCGTCTGCGCCCCAGCAGCAGCAGCAGCAGCTCCAGCACCCGCAGCAGCAGCAGCAGCAGCAGCAGCAGCAGCAGCACCCGCAGCAGCAGCAGCAGGTGTTTGCTGTTGATCGCATTGTGGGAGTGAGGACAACAGCAGCAGGTTGTCTCCGCTTTAAAGTCCGATGGGCAGGGCTTTCTGCTGCTGAAGATACTTGGGAGCCGCAGCAGCACTTGCTAGGTCTGGACGTGCTGCTGCAGCAAGCGCAGCAGCAGCTTGGCGTCGATTGCTTCTTGCCGTGGGGCCCCACAGACCCACGCGCAGCAGCAGCAGCACAAACAACTCATGCAAGGGAGCAGCAGCAGCTACCCCGTCAGCCCTCAGCTCCCAGCAGCAGCAGCAGCAGCAGCAGCAACAGCGGCAGCGGCAGCAGTAGTAGTAGTAATAGTAGTAGTAATAATAATAGTAGTAGTAGTAGTAGCAGCAGCAGCAGCAGCAGCAGCGCCGAGGACAGTGCTGTCGATGGGCATCCTAAAGACGTTTGCCCGCATGCAGCCTCAGGCAGCAGCAGCAGCAGCAGCAGCAGCAGTGGCGCTCTCGTCTCAACTCCTGGCGGTGCGCCTGAAGCGTGCAACAGCAGCAGCAGCAGTAGCAGCAGCAGCAGCAGCAGCAGCAGGACGTCTCCGCCTCCGCCTGTGCTGCAAAGTGTTGTTAAGTACCGCAGCAGATTTGGAAGAGGAGAATATCGTGTTAAATATTGGGGTGTATCATCAGGTGGGCAGCAATGGGTGGCTGAGCAGCAGCTGCTGCAGCAGCTGCTGCTGCTGCCGGAGACAGCACTTTCTGCTGCTGTGAGGCAGCAAGCTGCTGCAGCAAAGGAACAGTGGAGAGAAAGAGTAAATGAAAATGCGGGCCTCAACAACGCATGGTGGGGCTGCGTCTAGCTGCTCCTCCTGCTGCAGCAACTGCTGCTGCATCTGCTGCAGCAACTTCTGCTGCACCTGCTCCTGCAGCAGCAACAGCGGCTGCATAGCTGCAAGCCCTGGATGACGGCACTACCTTTTGCTGCTGCTTCTGCTGCTGCTGCTTCTGCTGCTGCTGCTACCGCCGCACCTGCTGCAGCTGGAGCAGCAGCAGCAGCAGCAGCAGCAGCAAAAGAAGCATTGTCATGTCTGACTCGGAAGGTTTATATATGTTTGCTTCTTAAGGGAGCTTCCAAGGAGACACCTTTGAGCCTTATTTATATCAATAGTCGGAGTTGCTGCTCTTGCTGCTGCTGCTGCTTGTGCTGCTGCTGCTTGTGCTGCTGCTGCTGCTGATACTTTCGTAGGCTTGCGTAGGAACATGCTTTACAGGTTGCAGGGCTGTGCTGCGCTAGGAGACTTTACACAACAGCAGCAGCAGCAACAATAGCACCAGCAGCAACAGGAGCAGCAGCAGCACAAGCAGCAGCAATAGCACCAGCAGCAGCAGTAGCAGCAGCAGCGAAGAACTGCGATGTCGTCTAGCATAAGAGTCTCTTTACAAATATCTTTCTGAGGTGTACATACACCTGAGGGTGGGCTGCTGCTTCTGTCTCCTTTCTGCTGCTTTGCCTCTTCTACTGAAAATAAATAATAATAAAAATAAAAATATTATTGTCGAAGAGGCTGTTACGCTGTTATGCATTTCGTCCCTCGAATACACCGGTTGCATGCAATGCTGCTGCTGCTGCTGCTGCTGCTGCTGCAGCAGAGACTGCAAGAAGTGCAGCAGAATCAGATGCAGCAGCTGCAGCAGTAGCTGTTAATCTAGCAGCAGCAATGGCTTCCGTTGCTGCTTCAGGCATTGCTGCTAGCTGTTGCTTGTGAGGGCTTTTCTGCGGCTGCTGTTGCTGCTGCTGTTGCTGCTGCTGTTGCTGTTGCTGTTGCTGCTGCACCGGCCCTTACATTTTTTCTTGCTGCTGCTAAGCCCTGCAGCAGCTCCTCCTGCTTAGACGCAGGCAGCTGCAGAAATTCATCCTTCTCCAGGACAGCTGTACATACACCACAAACAAAGCAGCAGCAGCAGCAGCAGCAGCAGCAGCCGTAGCAGCAGGAGCATCAGCAGAAGCAGCGGTCAAGCAGTTGTATCTTCCTCAACCTTCCAGGCTAATGCTGCGGCTACTACTGCTGCTGATGTTGCTGTTGCTGCTGCTGCTGCTGCTGAGGTGTACAGGCAGCTTACGGGCCTCTGCTTTATCTAGTAATTCAGATGACGAGAAGTAGGGGGGCCCATCTTGGGGGCCTCGGTACAACCCACAGCCAATTATCCTGCAGCAGCAGCAGCAGCAGCAGCAGCAGCAGCAGTAGCAGCAGCAACAGCGCAGAGGAGGCGTGCTGAGTCGCAGCTGCAGCAGTAGCTTTTGCTAGGTGCAGCAGCTGCTGCTGCTGCACTCCCAATAGCAGCAGCAGCAGCACCTCCTGCAGCAGCAGCAGCAGCAGCAGCAGCAGCAGCAGCAGCAGCAGTAGCAGCACTTACCTAACGGG